TTTTTTTTTTTTTTTTTTTTTTTAAGTACCAGGCTTGAACTCGGAACCTAACGCTTGCAAGGCAGGCGCCAGAACCACTGAGCTAAATCCCCGGGCCTCTGAGTCCATTTTTTGAATGAGGAGACTAAGACTACTTACTGAGCTCTTGGAAAATAGCATAGCTTAGTGGAAAGAACAGGCCTTGGAATGGGGCAGATCTCACTTTGCATCCACACCTCTTAGTTGTGTAACTTTAAGTCATTTAACCTCTGAGCTTCACTTTCCTTACCTGTCTCTTGGGATTGTTGGGAGAATAAAAGAAGAGAATGTCTATAAAAGAGCTAAAGAAGGTAACGTCTGTAAACCCCAGCGTGTGTTAGCACTCAATATCAGTTCCCTTTCCAAGCATTATATTTCTTAAGATAATGTAGGAAAGTTAGGCTTTATAGGTGTTAGTACATTGCATGTGACTTCATTAGATAAATAAAGCAAAAAACAAATCGAGAACCATGTGTCTGGGTTGGGAGAAACTGAGTGGAGACCATTGTGGTGATGTTCTCAGCTGTGTCAGAGGCCGGGGAGACTGCTCTGATGTGATGAAGTAGCACTACTGGATCTGAAACTGGACCTGAAAATCCAGCCGGTTCCTAGAGTCTGCTACAGAAAAATAAACAACAGTAAATGCTTTCCTTACTGCTATTTTTTGAAATTTCTCTGTGATTTAAACCTTGATGTCCATTTCGTGCCAGATCTTACTCTTATTCAACAGGAAGTGGATGCTTTGGAAGAACTAAGCAGGCAGCTTTTTCTTGAAACAGCTGATCTATATGCAACCAAGGTATAGAGCCAGGAAACTAAACTGTGATTTTTTTACCAATATGACTGAAGAGAGCTTTTTAGTATCTTATGACCCGGCAGTGCAAGAGACACAGCTTCCTTATAAGCCATGAAGCATTTGAGAATGAGAAATTACTCTTCTTGAGTTTGTTTCTGTCACTGGCAAATCCTCACAGGAACACTGTCTATAATAGAAATTGGCAGGATAGAAGAGAATTTTCACCATCTGTGGTGGTACCATTTCCTACTGACCCGGAATAAAGATGGTGGCTCCTCTGCTTCATTTTATTCCTTTACAAGTTAGTAATATTACTGCCATAGTTTAGCTCTATTTTAAAAGGACTCAGATCAGGAAGTATCCCAACTTTCCTATGTACACCTAAAATACATTATAATTTAAGTATGCAAAATCTTAACAATTGCAAACTTTTTAATCCTTTTTCAGGGTAGCTTCATAGGGGTAGCTACCTAGGGTAGAGGTTAACTAACATAGGCTTTGGAGACAGACCTGAGCCTGCTTACCAGTGCACCTCCCTGAGCAAGTTTATTAGCCTCTCTAACATTCAGTTTTCTCATCTGTAAAATTAAGATATTAGAACAGATTTCCTAAGCATTATGAAGTTTAAGTAGCAATGACCATAAGATATTTGTCCCAGTCTCAGGCTTAAACAGTCAATAAATGTTCGTCACTGTTACTGTTATTATTTTAATATAACCAATAGTGATTTATAGAGGAATTCTTTTGTTGAAGATAAGTTTTCATGAGACTAACCAAATTTTGTGATTATTTTTTCCCCAGGAAAGAATAGAATATTCCAAAACTTTCAAAGGAAAATATTTTAATTTTCTGGGTTACTTTTTCTCCATTTACTGTGTTTGGAAAATTTTCATGGTAAGTACATTTTATCAAGAGTTCAGTGATTTTCCCTGGGGATGACAGCAAGATACAATGAGTTTAATTAGCACATTGAACTCAGTTCCAAATTGAGTTGAGAGAACATGACCTTTCACATCTCTGAGCTCACTCTTTTCTCCCTCCTCCTTTTTTTGAGGATCTAGAAAGGGAGGTTGCATTTTTTTTTTTCCCTGTCAGGAATCATAAGGCCTTAGGTTATGAAACAAAAATTGATTTGTTTCTTGGTTTGCTGTGCTTTCCGTATTACCTGCGTACATAACTCTGTGTAATCCTAGTTCCTACTTTGAGCTCAGAGCAGAAACCACATATCCTTTTTAATTATGTTTGCTAAAAATTTAAGTCTAAAATTCTAAATGTATTTCTGCAGGTACATTCATCTTGCAGGCTTATTGCTCTTATTCTTGTGTAGTTTTCCCTTAATATTTTAATTCTTTGTTTGCATTTTATGTACGTTGGTCTTCACTTCTGGCTCATTTGCTTGTGTTCATGGATTTCAATGTGATCATAGTAAAGACTGATTTGATTTTCCGGCTTGACAAAATCCTTGAAGGAATACTGTCTATAATAGAAATTGGAGGGACAATCAGAAGAGAATTTTCAACATCTATGAAAGTGTTACCTACTAGAGCTGTGTTTGCACAAAGAAGAGCTTTGTTAACATGTTAATGTTGATCAATATAGATTAATAGATTTTCTTTTTTTTATTATTAGTACATGTTTACAGTACATAATGTTTACATTCCTTGTAGGGAATTGGTACATAATACATAATTCTTCTTAATTCCTTTATTCATCTCATTTCCTTTCCCTCCTCCCCCCCTCCACTCATCTCTTGATCCCATTCCATTCTTTTTTATGAATCTAATATTATAATAAATGGAAATCAATACCACTCAGATGATTTTTTAAAATCTTGATTCATTGAGAAAAGATGAATGGAGATAGTATATTCAGGTAGCTAAACTACTGAAAGGTTTTTTTCTTGAGATGTAGCCCCTTAGAGGAGCATATCAGCTATTAACAGCTTTATTATGGTATAATTGACATATTTTAAGCATACAGTTTGGTAAGTTTTGATACGTGTATATATGTGTGCAACAACCAGCACCACAATTCAGATATAGAATGTAGGGCCAGGGATTTAGCTCAGTGGCACCACGCCTGCCTCGCCAAGCACAAGGTCCTGAGTTCAATCCCTGGTACAGAAAAAAAAAGGCTCAGATACAGAATATATTTATCCATCACTTTCAGAACTCTTCCTGCCTCTTAGTAGGGCCTCTGTCCCACGCCCCCAGCCCCCAGGCACCTGCTCAAGCTGTCAGTAGATATTAATTGATATTTTATATAAGTGTATCCCTTTTCAGTCTGGCTTATTTTACCCAGCATGATTTTTTGAGGTTTCATCAGTGTTATTGTGTATATCAGTAATTTATTCCTTTTCCTGCTGAGTTGTATTCCATTGTATGTTTACCATTTACCTGGTAGTGGATATTTGGTTGTCTCCAGTTTGGGGATATTACAAAGCTGCGGTGAACATTTTTGTGTAAGTGTTTGTCTACACATACGCTCTTTGCTCTTGGAGAAGCATTTGGGAGTGGAACATCTGATTCATAAGGCAGATGTCTAACTTTTGAAGAAACAGCCAAATTCTTTTCCAAAGAGACTGTACCATTTGCATTCCTAGTTGGTGTGAAGGAGTTTCAGTTGTTCTGTACCCTCATCAACACTCACCTGGTTAGTCTTACTAATTTTAGACATTCTGATAGATTTGAAGTATTGAATCTACCAAATACCTGATAGGAAAATTTACATGCCTAAAGATGTGTAGCTTCTTTTCATGTGCTCATTTGTGAGCCATCTCCTCTTTGGTAAAGTCTCTGTTCAACTCTTCTACCATTTTTTTCCTTCAGGTGTTAATTGTCTTTTCATTGATTTTTAAATTTTTGAATATTCTGGAAATCCTTTATCAAAATGTGATTTTTAAATACTTTGGTTCTTATCAGTAGATTTGACTTTTCATTCTCTTAGCAGTTTTCTGTTTTTTGTTTTGTTTTTCCTATTATGGATTGTGTTTTTGATCTAAGATCTAAGAAATCTTTGCATACCCAAGGGTTATAAAGTTTTTTTATGTTTTTATAGAAACTATGGTTTTAATATTCTAGTCTATGATCCATCATAAGTTAATTTTTAATATGATTAAATATGGATACAAGTTCATTATTTTGCATACAGATATCCAGTTGTTCTAGCACTGTTTGTTGAAAAGATTATTATTTCTATATTAAGTTGTCTATCCAGTGTGGGTCTGTATATTTACTCTGTTCATTCCTGTTGGTATGCAATGTTTGCCTTTAATTATGCTAGTACCATACTGTCTTAATCATTGCTTTATAATAAGCCTGAAATCATATGCAGTCAATTCTCCTATACTTTTCTTTAAAAATTTTTGGCTATATATGTCCTTTATATTTCCATGTGAAATTTATAATCAGTTTGCTAGTTCCTACAAAAACACCTTCTGGAATTTGTATTGGAATTACATTGAATCTATAGATCAATTTAAAGGAAGTAATATCTTTTTTTTTTTTTTTTTTTGGACCGGGAACTCAGGACCTTGCGCCCACAAGGCAGATGGCAGAACCACTGAGCTAAATCCCTGGCCCTAAAGGAAGTAATATCTTAACAGTACTGAGTCTTCTAATCTGTGAACATGCTATAAACCTTCATGTATTTAGATCTTTTTTTTTTTTTGGTACCGGGGATTGAACTTGGAACCTTGCACTTGTGAGGCAGGTGGCGGAACCACTGAGCTAAATTCCCGGCCTGTATTTAGATCTTTTATAGTTTCAGCAATGTTTTATAGTTTTTAATGTACAAGTCTTTCACAGCTTTTGTCAGATTTATATCTAAGTATATTTTGATACTTTCCTAAATCTGTTTTTATAATTTGTTTGACTATTGTTAGTACATATATAATTATTGTATATTGATCTTATATCCTGCAACTTGCTAACCTTTTTATTTCTAGAAGCTCTTTTACATGTTTCATAGGATTGTCTCCATAGACAGTCAGGTATCTGGAATTGGGACAGTCTTGCTTCTTGTCATGCGATGTAGATCCCTTTTCTTTCTTTTCCCTCTCCTACCTCCCTTCCCTTTTATTCCCCTTCCCCTCTCAAGTTCTCTCCTTTCCTTCCCTTCTTTCCTTTCTGCTTCTTCTCCTCTTTTAGCCTTACTGCATTGTGCAAAGTTCAGTAGCAGTAGCAAGAGAAGTTATCCTAGACTTTTCCCTGATCTTAGGGAGAAAGCATCCATTCTTTGATTCCCTCTATCAGCTTTAGGAAATTCTTTCTATTCATTAGTGTTATTAATCATGAAATCGTGTTAGGTTTTTGTCAGTTTTCTACATCTATTAAAATGATCTTACGGTTTTCTTTTTTAATCTGTCATTGTAGTGAATTAAATTCATTAGTTTTTGCTTGATTGGTTTTGTTTTTTTGGTACCAGGGCTCGAACTTGGGACCTTGTACAAGGCAGACACGGTGCCGCTGAACTAAATCCCTGCCCCAGATTGATTGTTTTTTGTACTGGGGATTGAACCAAGGTCTTCACACTGAGCTATATCTGCAGCCCTTTTTTATATTTTAAGACAGTGTCTCGCAGTAATGTGCTCAGTTGCCTATGCAGGGTTTAATTTGCCATCCTCCTGCCTCAGCCTCCCAGAATGCTGGAATTACAGATGTGCTTCACCGTGCCTGGTGATTTTTTAATATTATGTCTTTGTTTGGCTTTAGTGTTAAAGTAATACTGACCTTAGAGAATAAGTTGAAAAGTACTGCCTCTTCTAATTAGTGGGAAAGTTTGTATGGAATTTTATTATTTCTTAAGTGTTTGATAGAATTTACAAGTGAAGCCTTTTGGGTTTGGTATTTTCCTTGCACAAAGATTTCTAACTCCCAGTTATTTTCTTTACAAATACAAGTTTTATTGGGTTTATCTGTTACTGCTTCTTGAGTGAAACCTTGCAGTTTGTGTCTTTCAAGGAATTTGTCCATTGTTATTAAAATTTTCAAATTTATTGGGATATAGTTGCTCATAATGTTGTCAGTCCTTTCAGTATCCATGGAATTTGTTGGGCTGTCAGCAGTTTTGTTCCTTTTTTATTTAACAGTGAGGAAGACATAGTTCACTACAGTTTACCCACTTAGCATACAATTCAGTAGTTCTCAGTATGTCCACAGAGTTGTACAACATCACAGCAGTCGGCCTGTGGACGTTATCATCAAACCGGAAAGCAGTCCCATACTCATTACCAGTCACTCCCTCAATTCTTACTCTCCCACCCTTAGGCAACAACTGATATACTTTCTGTCCTTAGGTTTTCCTTTACTAGATATTACAGATAAATTGAATCAGACGATCTGTGGTCTTTTGTGATTGGTTTGACTTAGCTTAAGTTTTAAAGGTTCATCCATTGCATCTTCATTTCTTTTTATGGCTGGATACTGTTCCTTCTTATGGCTAAATAGTACTTACATCATTGTATGGATAATACCACATTTTGTTTATCCGTTTAGTAATTGGTAAACACTTAGGTTTCCACTTTTTGCCAATATCAGTAATGCTGTTGTGAATATTTGTATATAAGTTTTTCAGTGAGCATCTTTTCATTTCTCTTATATAATGGCTAATAACAGAATTTCCGTGTCACATGGTAACTATATGTTTAACTTTTTGAAGACCTGCCATGCAATTTTTCAAAATGATGGCACCAGTTTACATTCCTGCCAGCAATATATAAAGGCTCCAATTTCTTCACATCCTCGCCAATATTTGTTATCATCTATCTTTTATTATAGACATCCTGGTGAGTATAGAGTAGTATCTTTTGATATTGACAACTTGTGTCTTCTCTCTTTTTTTCTTATTAGGATAGTAGCAGTTTATTGATTTTACTTAACTTTTTAGAGAGTCAGTTTTGGGTAATTGATTTTCTGTATTATTTTTCTGCTTTCCATTTCATGGATACCTGCTCTGCTCTTTATTATTTACTTCTTATTTGGGTCATGTTTCCACTTTAAGGTAGAAACTAAGATCATTGATTGGAGATCTTTTCTGATAAAGGTGTTTTATTATGATAAATTTCTTGTTATGTACTGTTTTAACTTCAGCTTTTAATGTATAATGTATTTTGGGGTTTTTTGGTTTTTTTTGTTTTGGTAATGGTGATCGAACTCGGGTTCTTGCGCTTGCGCAGCAGGCAGCGAAACCACTGAGCTAAATCCCCGACCCTGTATTTTTATTTTTGTTTAGTTAAAAATGCTTTCTGGACATGGTGTTGCACACCTGTAATCCCAGCACTTTGGGAAGCTAAGACAGGAGAAACACAACTTTGAGCCCAGCCTGGGCAACTTAGCGACTTAACAAGATCCTTTCTCAAAATAAACTTTAAAAAGCAGTGGGGACATAGCATAGTGTGAAGGCCATGGGTTCACTCTCCAGGATCACACACAAAAAAATAACTTTATTTCCCTTTTGATTTCTTCTCTGACTCATAGGTTATTTAGAAGTGTGTTCTAAAATAATTGGGGAGACTCTTCCAAATATCATTCTCTAATAGATTTCTAACTTAATTTTATGTAATCTAAGAACATATTTTGTATGATTTGACTCTTTTTAAGATTTATCAAGGCTTGTGTTTCGTGCCAGAATATAGTCAACTAAACTCAGCATGGTAAATGTTCCATGTGCCCTTGAGTAGCATGTGTATTCTGCTCTTACTGGCTAGAGCGCTCTGTGAGTGTCAGTTAGGTCAAGTTGATTGATAGTATTATTTAAATTTTCTGTATCCTTACTGATTCTCTATTTTATCAGTTATTGAGAGAACAGACCCAACTATTTGGATTTGGCTATTTTTATTTTTTTATTTCTATCAGTCTTTGTTTCATATATTTTGAAGCTTTGTTTTTGGCTATATAAACATTTAGGATCATTAACCTTTTTTAAGTGATTTTTTTTTAATCATGAAATGGTCCTTCTAAAACACAAGATTTTTTTGCTATGAAATCTACTTCATCTGATGTTACTATAGAGACTCCACCTTTTGTTTTATTAGTACTAGCATAAATATATATTTTTTCCATCTTTTTACTTTTAACCTGTTTACATGTTCATATTTAAAATGAGATTCTTTGTAGGCAACATATACAGTAGTTAGGTCTTGCTTTTTATCTAGTCTGACAGTGCCTACCATTTCACCGGCATGTTTAGACCAGGGATTAGCAATCTATAGTCCACAGACAAAATCTACTTACTTTTGTAATAAGGTTTTATTGGAACATAGCCAAGCCCATTAGTGTATGTACTGTCTGACAACTGTCACACTACAGTGACTGAGTTTGCTCCCCCCTGATTACTGTTTACATTTAATGTGATTATTGAAATGGTTAGATTTAAAACTGCCTTGTTACTGTTTTTCATTTGTTCTCCCCCCCACCGTCCTTTTTCTAAATGTCACTTTTGGGATCCTTTGGATATATTTCATCATTCAATTTCCTTTGCTAGCTTACTAGCTATAACTTTTTTCTTTGCTCTGAGGGCATTCAGAAAACAACCATAGGGAATGATTTTGGAGTTTCTTGACTCTCTTGCTCAGACTTCATCCACCTTTCTGGCTTCTGATAAACTAAGATTTATATGCCATAGTTTTATTCCTCTTGACTCTACGGAAAATAAAGATGGAATGGAGAGACTTTCATTTGCCTAAACAGACTTCCTATATATGGTTTAGATTGAGTAGAACTGCATTTTTCAAAACATCAGCCTCTAAGGCGTGTTATGGTGATTAATCCGTTTTGACTCACACTTTGTGAAATAGTAATTAAGATGCACTAACACAGAGGTCTGTGTCTCTGCAGGCAACCATCAATATTGTTTTTGATCGAGTTGGGAAAACTGATCCTGTCACAAGAGGCATTGAGATCACTGTGAATTACCTAGGAATTCAGTTTGATGTAAGAGTTCTATGAAGATCTTGGTTTATACAGTTTTTTATTTTATCTGATGTGACTTAACATTGTTAAGACTCTACTTCCTATACTTTAAGTACTTGCCTCTGCATCTGTTCTTCCCGTGGTCCTCTGTATAGGCTGACGTATTCACATGACACATTTGTAATAGTCCAGGTTTCTCGTTCTTAACATAAATGCATAAGTAATGATGAGTGCTGTACCTTTATTGTCATGGATGCTGATTATTTCTACAATTCCTCCTCTGCTCCTCTGTAGCCAGCTACTATGCCAGTTTCTCCCCCCTACCCCCACCAAGTATTCAGATCCTTCTCTCTGTGCTCCTTAATGAGCTCTTCAGGCACATAAGTCATCTTTGATTCCCCTGGTAGAAAATTAACTACTAATTAGTGTTGCATGTTAGACCTGAAATAATTTCAGCTCTAAAAATAAATGATCCTCAAGGACCCAAGTTCAATTCCTGGTACCAAAGAAATAAAAAAATAAATAAATGATCCTTATCAATTAATGTGGACCTTGTACTAAAGATGATAACTGTCAACTATGTACAAAATTGGATTTTTTTTTTGTTTCCTTAAAGGAGGAAAGTTTATTGTAGCTCACAGTTTGTAGAGGCTTCAGTCTACAGTCCACTGGCTCCAGGGCAGGGTGGCCTGGTGAGGGGCGTGGAGAGGAGAAACCATCCACGGCAAAACAAGGCAGGAAGAAAACAGGCAGCAGTGAAGTAGCAAAACAGCAGACCCAGTTGGATTTTTTTTAATCATCTTTTCTACCTGTTTGATAAAACCACTGTCATAAACACACCCTTGTCCTAATTTAAGTTCAGTGCCCTTATTCATCGAATAATATATCTTGTAGATATATGTGTGGACAATGATAAGACTGATATCACCCAGGCAGGGTGTTGCACACTTGTAATCCCTGCACTCGGAGAGGCCCAGGCAGGAGAGTTCCAAGTTCCAGCCCAGCCTGGGCAACTTAGCAAAACTCTGTCTCAAAAAATTTTAAAAGGTCTAGGGATGTAGTTCAGTGTGATGGCTCTGGGTTCAATCCCCACTGCCCCAGCATAGCAAAAAAAATTTTTAAAGACATACCACATCCTTAGTCCCAGTGTGGGCATTTAACTGGGCTCTGATTCTACACACAAACTGCCTGCCACTTCGTCTTCCATCTCAACAGGACATGCCTCTGAACTCAATGGTAGCTAAATAAGAATGAACCAGTGCAAAGTGAGCTCCAGTCCTAAGTATGCTTTGGTATTGTTGGCCTATGTAGTTTACTCATTTACTTTTTTTACTGGGCTAAATTTTTAGAAATGCTTTCCATATCAGTGCTTCCTGAGACTGCTTACTCGCTGTGTATATAGTCCATCTATAATTCACCTGTGTCCTCCATATTTCATCATCTGAATAGCAAGACTTTCTATTGCAGCAATAGCAGCTTTTCCTCAGATATTTTTCAGAATTGAATCCCAAAACTGCTTCTCACTATCAAGCAGTGTAGGAGGAGACAAAAGTATGTGATTCAGATGAAGTTCTGTGTCCTAGAATATAGCTGAGGTCTATATAGTCTTTTTATTATAAAAAGATTTTTTAGGGCTGGGGATTTAGCTCAGTGGTTTCGCTGCCTGCTGCGTAAGGACCTGAGTTCAATCCCCAGTACCAAAAAAAAAAGATTTCTTGAAGTTTTGCATGATGAGAGAAGTATCATTCATAGATACTAAAAATAAACAAGGTACTGTTAAGTTTTTTTGTGGGGGGGGTGGTTGGTACTGGGGATCGAACTCAGGACCTTGCACTTGCTATGCAGGCACTGTGCCATTAAGCTAAATCCCCGGCCCCAGTTTGAAATTTGTTTCCTTTCAATTCCTTCTCTTCATTTATCACAGTAAATTGTGTCATTAGCTTGTTTTATTAGTGTTATTTTTACTCACTTCATTACACTTGCTTTCTGTTTTAAGATTTGATTCTTTGGCTAATTGAGATACCTACTGCAGTCTTCCTACCAAAGTCTCACCACTTGCTTGCTTTCTTTCATCCCTCAAAAGGGGTAGGGCCTGTAAAACTCCGTCTCACCATCGCATCTTTCTGAATAGACTTAACAGCTGTTTCCTCTTTCTGCTATGGTGACAGGTGAAGTTCTGGTCCCAACACATTTCCTTCATTCTAGTCGGAATAATCATTGTCACATCCATCAGAGGATTGCTGATCACTCTTACTAAGGTATGTTGTATTGCAATGTTAGAAAGTACTTAGGTATTTGATTACATATGGTACTGTGAAATGGTTTTTTTTGTTTGTTTGTTTTTGGCACCGGGGATCGAACTCGGGTCCTTGCGCTTCCGCAGCAGGCGGCGAAACCACTGAGCTAAATCCCCGGCCCTTAAGATCAAGTTTTTAAAGACATGCACAGAATAAAAATGTTCAACTGCTACATAAAATGTATGACAGTGTATGATATCTAACTCCAATCACAGATAAGATCTAGAGGTAACAAGGGTCTGTTTTGTTCATGGAGCTTTCACCATCATCTGTAATAGAACTTGGCAGGCATTCAGCAGACATTTGAGGCTAGAAGAATAATTATCAGAGTCATTAATAAAGATATGGAAGCAAAGAAACAATATTCAGCTGTTTTCTGATCAACATAAGAAGGCTTCATGGCAGAGGGAAGTTCTGTCTGGTAGAAAAGGTAGAGATTTCAAGATCTGAAAGCCGTTTGAAAGAAGAGAAAGTTAAAACAGGAAGAGATCTCCAGTCATCTAGCACAATTTTGGGAAGAGCTCAGTGGCCCATTAACAGTGCTTGGAGGGCCGGGGATTTAGCTCAGTGGTTTCGCCACCTGCTGTGCAATCTCAAGGACCCAAGTTCGATCCCCAGTACCAAAAAAAAAAAAGCCCAAAACTTGGTAGATTTGGGGCCAGGGACTTAGCTCAGTGGTTCTGCCGCCTGCCTTGTAAGCACAAGGACCCGAGTTCGAACCCCAGTACCAAAAGAAAAAAAGAAAACATTGCTTGGAGTTGCCTGTTTTAATGTTTTATGGTAATCTTAAGGTCATATTCATCAGTTTCCGAAGTTTGACGGCATAAGAATTCTTTCGTATGTACTAATGTAACACCTAAAACCATCAACTGCCTGGAAGGGGAAACTAACAGTAGTCTGTTTCAAGTTTCTTTACAGCCTTAATCATCTGATTTGTTCTATACAAGATTGTTGCATGGAAGAGACAATTAAAGACTATGTTACTTATTCACAACACAAGAATCTAGCAGTACTAATTTTAATCATCTTTCCTCCCTTAACAGTTCTTTTATGCCATCTCAAGCAGTAAGTCCTCCAATGTCATTGTCCTGCTATTAGCGCAGATAATGGTAAGTTTAATAAACTAGCTCTATGTTTACAGCTATAAAAACTAGAAATGTGTTAACAATTAACAATTTCCTCCCACCTGCCCCTCACTACAAAGTAACTTGTAGATTGGTTTGATTTTCAGGGCATGTACTTTGTCTCCTCCGTACTGCTGATCCGAATGAGTATGCCACTAGAATATCGCACCATAATCACGGAAGTCCTTGGAGAACTGCAATTTAACTTCTATCACCGTTGGTTTGATGTCATCTTCCTGGTCAGCGCCCTTTCCAGCATATTATTCCTCTATTTGGCTCACAAACAGGCACCAGAGAAGCATATGGCACCTTGAACTCGAGATTACAGACTGTTAGAAACCAGGATCAGCAGAATTTGAGTCTGAGGAAAAGCAATGGAGGGGACCAGGGCCTGCTACCTCCAGCATACACCTTTCTCAGGTGGTACTATGATACGTAGCATTGGCCAGAACAGGAGAAGGAGAAGTAACTCGAGACAGTACTCAGCAGCAAGCATGCAAAAGTAGTGAGGGCAGGGCCAGAGGGGACTGAGACTGTACTGGAACCATTACATGTCTATAGTAACTGGGCCAGACGTTCAGGTGGGCAAGGTTATGGCTTTTCCTTAAGCGTGACTGTCATTAAAGTCAGACTGTAACACTTGGGCCTTGGGTTTACTTTAAGCATAGCTTGTGCTTGTGTGATCTAATACTTGAGTTAGCAGCTTGCCTCACCCAACCACTTCCCTATTAAAATAACCATGTCTGTTCTAAGAAAGGGATAGTGGACAACTGAAATAGATTTCCTGTTCAATTAGTATTGAGTGTGGGGCCAGGGATGTAGCTCAGGGGTGCCACACCTGCCTGGCAAGTGCAAGGTCCCGAGTTCAACTCCTGCTATGGGGGCGGGGGGGGAGGGAGATACATTTAAGTTGGTAATGATGTCTCCCATGTTTTCTTCCGTCTCCTCATATGCTGTGGGATAAAACAGTAAATAACTGGAAAAAGTCACTTTCCTATCCTGGGACTCGAGCTCTTCCCTTTTTAAATACTTAAATGCAACCTAAAAAATATTCTGAATGTTATTACCTGGAGTCTCCTTTTATTACTAAACTCTTATTCTGTGTTTAAGTGTTTGGGGTTTCTAGAAGCAAATAAAGATTATCCAAAACAAAAGCACTATTAAGGTTATACCAGCTAATAGAGGAAGGTAAGCATACTCAAGACATTTTTAATGGTATTTGTTCTAGCAACCACATTTTTATAAAAGCATAATTTGAATTATCTGCTCTGCTGTTTTGGAGATTCATGAATCGGCTTTGGTGCTTAAGGAGCCTATAAAAGAGATCATCATATAGAGAAATGTAGTTAAGCTAAAGCATGGAAGAGATCACAAAAAGCAAATAAGCCATCTGTAATAGCTCTGTGGCAGTCATTCACAGGTGGTGGTTTCCAAAAGTCTTTAACACAGTAAGTGGGTGGCAGCTCATTCCATGTGACACCAGTTCTGGATACTTAGTAGGAATCCTAGCAGCTGAAGCCATCATTCGTTCTGATCACATCTGTGTGTCTTCAGAATTGGAGGAAGAATTTGAGGCTGTACTGTGGGCCTGTGCAAAAGAAAACAAAGATTTACAAGTAGTAGTAGAGTATAGGCTGGAGTTTAGCTTAGTGGTGCCACTGCCCGCCTTGCAAGCCCAAGGTCCTGAGTTTGATCCCCGGTACCAAAAAAAAAAAAAAAAAAAAAAAAGTGGTGGAGTGACCAGCAGGAGAGGGATGGTCGATTCTAAAGTTGCATGATTAAACTCAGGAAGTCAAGTCACTCACTAGAAGAATTCAACACTTGGCCTTGTTTCTAACTTGCTATTTGACATATTAAATTTCTTAACGCCTATATATATCTCTTCTGTAATGGACCTCTCATGGAATTTTCTGAAATGCAGAATACAGTGGACCCTCAAGCTACAACCAGCCTGACATAACTTGAGTTAGGTTAATGGAAGATGCATCTGCCTCTTGTCATCACTAGCATGTACCCGGCTAAACATCCAGATCTCAACTGTATTGGCTTAAAACTAACGAGTTACAACCAGCCCTCGGAACTGATCAAGTAAGCCAGGGTCCACTGAACTGTTTAGCTAAGCTTTCCAAAATGTAAGTCAGTGTGTTCATCAAGTGTCATTTACATCACCAATCAGAATTAGTATAATAGAGAAAGTATTGTTTACTTTTAGACTCCCAATTTTGCCATAAATTTCCTTTACAAACTTGGATATGTTATTTCGCTTTTGGACCTCATTCATGTATGAAAAACAGTTGGACCAAAATGTAAAAACTAAGGCCTACCAAGGAACTTATCCAATTCAAATATACAGAGAAGGTTTAATCTCTCCCAATAAAGACAGTGGTACCTCGGTTTACAAACTGAATTTAATTTTGGGGATGTCTGAAGGTGGCCATGGTCATCTTTGTCACCCAATGTGGTGCCTGCAAACAAGCAGAATTTTGCCAAACACTTTTGTTTGCAAATAGAATATTACTGTATTATAAATACTGTCCCTAATCACCATTTTTATGTTCACTCTGCACCACTCACTGTTCAGAGTATTTTAATAGTCTTAGGTAATATAATTCTGGTAAAAATTGTACATATTGTCCCTGTTTTAGAGGTGGAGCAGAGCAAATATTTACCCAACACTGATGAGTGACAGAACCATAATTTTTATCAAGACAGTCTGACTCAGGTTCTTCTGGTGGTCTCCATTGGAACTTTAATAGACTTGACTTATCAACCCTACATAATAGCTGTCAGCTGAGTGCTGTGAAAATAAATTGTCCATATTCTGCCTCCTCTCCTCTAAAATAACATCTTTATCATTTTCCAGTATTTTGGAGAATCTGGTAACCATGGACATAAAGTATACTTAAGGACTGTACCATACTCTGGGGTAAGACAGATCAGGAAAAGAAATCACCACACTCACTCTTTCTTTCACCATGTGTGAGTCATGCTCTGACTCTACCACTGTTTCTTCTTTGGAATCAGGGCACACGTCCAGTGGATCAGCCATGGAGGAAATAATTGGGATTTTCTTAGCTTGGAAGTAATCATAGGCCTTCCTTCCGCAGACCAAGAGTGTGATGTTCTTCTCACTGCTCTGGATTTTGTCCACCACCTTCTCATAGGGTTCATCCAGCACATTCACCCCATTCACTTCAACGATCACATCCTCATCCTCCAGCCCGGCTGCATCGGCCGGGCCGCCCTTCTGTACCTGTGAACGTGAGGTTCTGAGTTAGCAACTCCAGCAGGGGAAAGAGCACACCAGACTGCTTTCCCCTCAGAGGAGGGGGTTGAGAATTTATTCTTAACCATATTTCTCCTTGAAGTACAGAAAAGTTCTTTAGTCTTTTTCGACTTATCAGAGTTACAGCTTCATACTCAAAGTAGCGGTATAAACTGGTTGACTACCATATTGTCAAGAGTGTATTATTACGGGCTGAAGTCATTAGATTTCATAGGTCTCCTTTCACACTCAACTTCAGAGCTACTGGGATGGTCTGTTCACAGCCAGTCCCTACCGGGTTGGCAATGTGTCAGCTCACAGTGTTCATTTGATTTGAAAGTGACTAAAGAGAACTGGATGGAAGCGAAAGATGAAATTCTGATGTTACTTAAGAGGGTGTGGGCCAGCGTTTGTATCTGCATTTCTATAACCTTTCTACTAAGACATCTACGGGCGGGAGAAGCTGAGGCTATCCTAATTGTGATTGTTCACAGGGCTGCTGGAACCAGATTACCATACCTCTTTGACGAATGAGCCTGGCAGTCCCCGAATCGCATTTAAGTGAAAGCCATAGCCATTTTCACCTTTCATCAGCCTGCAGAGTTTAGGCTTATGATCCGCTACTTCCTCTGTGGTGTCTGGACCTGAGTCCTCCAGAGGAGCAGAGGCTGGAACCTCCTTGACAGAACCATTAGGCAATTCTTGATTTTTATAGTAGAGGAATGGAGAAAATTGAGCCTTTTGAAAACAAAAAAGTTCTATGTATGAGTAGTTGCACTTTAATATTCTGGTCTCACAAGGTGTAATACATGTTCCGTTCTTTTTCTGCCTATGTCTGATTGTAGGCTGTAAAACTGCTCTAGTACCCCAACCAGGAAATGTATAAGACAGGTTGGTTATGGAATAATCTTACATAAATATGAACACAGATGCATATATGTGCATAAAATAAAAGTGTAGAATTTTGTACAATCCAAAAAGCCCATCTTCCTAGTTTCTTCTGGCTCCCCAGTAGTGAGCAAGTCACCGCACATCCTTCCACAGGCCTTTTGGAAGAACACACACCTGAGTAGCCCAATACCTCCGACGAAGCACACAAAGTAAAATGGTCTTCAGAACTCCTCCATCAAGATAGAAAAAGTGAAATAAAAGACTACTTTTTACCACTGAAGACTCAAAAGGCCAACCTGTACAGACAGTAACAATTAGAAGGCGATCCCATGTAACAAAGGTCCAACTGTTTGCTACTTGACACCCTCCAGTCTCCCCAGTGCTAGATCCCCCTATATGCTGTTTACTGTTCATTGTGACCATTAGCTGGCAGCTCTGTAATGCCAGACCCTGCCATCTTTAATTACTTCCAGGCTGCCTCACCATTCAGAAGCAGGAAAAACTGTTTGTTGGTCTTGAATACAAAAGCGGCACAAAACAAGAAACGACCTTTTTTTGGTGAAATTGATGGTTGATCCAAGGCCTTTGCACTAAGCTGTATCCCCAGGCTTCTCCCCCACCTTTTTTGAGACAGGCTCCTAAATTGCAAAATTGCCCCAGCTGGGCTCAAATTGGTGATGTTCCTGCCTCAGAGTACTGATACTCTGGATATGTACATGCCCACCTGTGACTGATGTTAAATACAATTAAGAACTTAACTGGCTGAGGCTTTTAGTTGAGAAGGTCAGGAAGGTAGATTGGGGGGTGGCATGAACTTGGATCAGTGGTTAAGTTGCTGCCCACAGTGCCTGGGACATTTGTTTGGCAGTGAATAGGAAGGTGAGTGCTGTGGGCCCCGCCCCCCCGGAGGCACACTGGCAGCCTGGCTGGAATTCGACGGGCACCTCTGGTTATTCGGCCATCTAACTGCAAGAGCACATTTCCTTCCTTTCTGAGAGGCGCCAGCACAGACCCTTCTGGTTACCTGGTTCAGCTAACTCTGGTACTGATCTTGTTCCACTTTGGAATGTCTCTAAAATGTGGGAAATTATCACAGTGACGCATTACATGCCAAAACGCTGAGACAGCTACCTCAACGAGCACGTCAAGTATCTAGCACTTGCCTCAAGTTTAGGTCAAGTAGATTAATGTTTAAACATATAATGAGTTTATTCATTCATCACTTGGATATTTGGGTATCCAGTGGGTGCCAGGAACCTTGTAGGTGTTTGATTTATTCACTGCTATATTTCAGAGATCCACCCCCACCCCAATCTGTGGCGCTTACTTTGAGGAGTGGGGCAGCCATCGTTTTGGAACAAAATTCTCTTAAACTCACTAAGACAGAAAAGGTAGTTACATCATTCTGTCACAAGGTTAGGAAAATGCCAGAATCCCCTTTACAGCAGCCAGAGCTGTGGCCTGTTGGCTTCTCTGGACTTTTTCCTCCAGCTGAGCCCAGCCCTCTGCAGGAATGACTCACTTAAGGTCTTAAGGCAGAAATAGCTCCCTGGAGCTTCTGTATTTGGTTGGCTGTGCCCCCACAGATCACCTCAGAAAAATTAAGGCCTTCTCACATGCAGTCACCTTTCAAGTTCTTGAAGATGCTCTTTCTCCAAAGCCCATGCTCGTTCAAGCTAAATACTTACGTGGTGGCTTCTAAAACCTCTTCCCTGGCTACTTGTCACTGGTCCTCCTAAATTGGGGCTCTCAGAGCTGGATACCATGGTGTTAACAAACATAACATGTACATATGAGAGACCTTATCCCATGTGCTCTAAATACTACCTCTAACTCTAGCTACCCTTTACAATAACTGTCCCATCTTACTGTAAGGAAACAGGCACAGAGAGGATAACGTGCCCAAGGTCACATTAATATGTACCAGATTCTGACCTAGTCAGTGAGGTGATTATCTCCAGAAGCCAAATGTCAATTAGCATAACTAAATTGTCCTCTCTGGTCATATTAAGTCAGCAGATTGAGTCTCACCATGTCATATTCATACAACTTATAGCAAAGTTAGAATAGTACTTGAATTTATTCTCATTTTAACTTGATTCATTAGTTTTTGTTTTGTTGGTACCGGGGATCAAACTTGGGACCTTGCGCTTGCGAGGCAGGTGCTGGAACCACTGAGCTAAATCCCCAGTCCTTGATTCATTAGTTTTTAAGCTTAATTCTTTCTGTCCTGATGAGGTATTTTAATTACACCCTTCTGTGAATCATCATTGCTTTCAGTCCCCAGAGTATATTAACTATGTTTTCCCTGTTTCTATCCAGATGTAATAAACTAGGATAGGAACAAATTGCACATTATTGGTGATTTCTGTTCCAGTTGACATTTCCCCAGTATCAAATGTTCTCCAGCTATGCTTGTTTACCTAGTTTTTAAAAAAATTACTGTCTGTTTCATTTTTTCATTTGGTTTACAAAGGTATCTTGAAATATCTAATCAAAATGTGCTGAGGAGGAGTATGGTATAATGAATTAAGAGTCCAGAAACTCGGGTTCAAATTCTATCTTCAGTCTCTGCTAACCTGGGTGACTTTAGTAAACCACTTAATCTAAATGTCAGTTTCCTAGTCTATACGAAGGGGCCAATATCACCACCCATGGTAATCCTCCCTCTGTATCATTCGTGGGCCCTTAGAACAAAACCCATTTCTCTTATTCATCTCCAGGACTAACATGTAGCATGACAGATGGTACCTAAGCCCCCAGATGCCTTTTACACTACACTGAACCTCAGTTACTTGTTTAATTTGCGGGGAAGGAGGACTGGGGACTGAACCCAGGGCCTTCACATTGAGTTACATAGGCACATCTCTAGCCCTCGGTGGGTGGAAGATTGGGGGACACAAGGTCTCACTAAATTGCTAAATTGCTCGGGCTGGACTGTAACTTGGGCCCTTCCTGCCTCGGCCTCCCAGAGTGCTGGGATTATAAATTTGTGCCACCACACACTGCTAAACCTCTTGTGTTTGTGATAAGGGTGTCATAAAACCTTAAAACATGCAAATAGGGGCCAGGGATTTAGCTTAGTGGTTTCGCCACCTGCTGAGCAAGCACAAGGACCCGAGTTTGATCCCGGGTATGTGCAAATAGTAGCTGTTAAGAGAGCTATTAAGAAGTGAGGTTAGTTCACTACTTCTTGGTCTTTGCTCACTTCATTTGCTAAGGGCTTACAAATAAAATCTTTTCTAGGCTTTTACATGAAATTGGTGGAACTTACTGATCTATAATTTAAAATCTAGTTGCTTCCTATTTGGGGGAGTTAGGGCTACATCTGTCTATTTCTAGACTGCTATTCTCCAGAGATAATTTCAAGTCACCAAGAATATTTCTGCAATTTATTTGCCAATTCTTTCAAAATTTTGAGTCCAAGGACTTAAAAACATGTTTAGTAATCACGTATTGCTCTTATGGGGACCAGTTTGAGCCTCCATTAGCTTCTAATAAGTGTTTTTCCCCTGGGCTGGGGATGGAGCACTTACCTTCCTGGCATGTTCGAGACCCTGGGTTCAATCCCCAGTACAACACACACACACACACACACACACACAAAAGATGAATTTCATTAAATACCTTTTTAAAATTATAGCCCTTCCATTTTGCAGAACACAATAGTAATAAGTCAGCCCAAAGTCTGAGGACGAGTGAGTGGACCCAAGCGTAACATGAATGTGTGGCCTTGTACTCACCAGTCTGTACAGATCATCCGTCTCTTTGTCCACCACCAGCAGTGACGTCTCCTCTCCCCCCTTCCTAATCATTTCCACCACACCGTCATGATCCAGGGTCTCCACAGACTCGCCATTGACAGCAACTACCAGGTCGTTTTTCTTCAGGCCAGCCGCCTCTGCCGGACTTCCAGAATCTATGTCCTTGATGGTTTGACCTACCCTTGCCCCCCAAAACTTAAATTAGTATCAGAAACGATACTAAACAAACTGGTATTTCTGCTGGAGTCCAAGGCCCTGATGAAACCTACAAAAGGTATGTGGGGCACACTCCTTTCCCCTGCATCCCGGGAAGTGCAGAAGCACCCTATCTAGACTCCTCCATGGGAACAAACCTGACCATTAGCAATGAAAGGATCTTAAAGGAGTAAGAATCATGTTACTAAAAATGTCTGACATTCAATCCTGACAGAAGTAGCAGGCTAAACATTAAAGGTCAATAAATTCCCAGCAAGTCAGTGAGCACACTTACATGCATAAATCTTACATAGAAGTTAAGCCCTAAGGAGGGGGGAAAGAGCCAGGCATGGTGGCCCAGGCCTGTAATCCCAGCATTTTGAGGGCAGCCTGGGCTACATAGTGAGTGCAGGGTCAGCATGAACTACAAAGGGAGACCCTGCCTTAGAAAAGGGGGGGGGGGGGTGAAGAACAAAAGATTTCAGACCTTTGGAAACCTGTCTGTCTTAGCAGCAATTGGGTGTATCCAGCTGAGGATTGTGTGTGCATGCTTCGGGAGGTGTCTAGCTTTCTTCTGACTTCAGCTGTTTTTTCAAATGCCTCCCGATCTCTCACACCTTTCTTTGCCCCTCACACTTTTTAACAAGCTCCATTTTCACTTTTCCAGTTAGCTGGTGAGTATCTCCAACAGAATACCTCACAGATTCCCTCAGTGTATTGCCCATTTCCCATCAAAAGCCCCTTCTCTGGTCCTCTGTGACGCTCCGCTCCACCCCTCCCATCACCAGCACGCGGCAGCTGGTTCTTCCTCAGTGTCCACTCTCACATCTAGTCAACCACTAAGTCCTCCCACGCTACCTTCACCTCTATACATCATTCTTCTCTCGTACTATTTCCTCTCCCAGAATCCAATGTGTGTCCGTTCTCGCCCAGAACTTAGCTTACCAGGTGCTCTCCCTTCCTCAGTCCTTCCCTTCTCCAATAGAGGCCCCTTCAGATCCAGCTTGATGCTCCTGTCCCCTCAGGTCTCCCCCAGCACAAGAGTTGGAGTGCAGCTGTACCTCGCTATTTAACCTTACATAATTACCTTGTCCACGTGCTCAATTTCAGCCGTTCCTCTTGCAGAACTGTTAGTAACAGATGTATGAAGCCCCTAAAATATGGTAAGCTTTAAATTTTTCCTTCGCACTCACTGTTCCCTTTTTCTCTCCCCATCGATTATAGAGCTGAGGCCAAACTCTTCCCCCTGCCACTGAGCTTCCCTCGTTTCTCTCCAGCCCACCTTTCTAACTTGAATTCTTGCTCAACACAGCACACGCCAGCCAAACTGTGCCCATGTTTACACGTAACTGACCTTCCTGGGATCACCTTCCTATCTATCCGTATGATAAAGCCTGCCTCAAGCCCCACCTGTGCTGTAGGGTCTCCTGGTAGCTTTTTAGTGAGAAAAGCATGTTCTGACCTTGAGTTCCCACAGCAGCTGATCTGCCCCTAGACTGAGGTGCTATCACTACCTTCAGTCATGGAGATGTGTGGCTCATCCCCTGCATTACATACATCTTGACTGAAGAATCCTGTTTGACTCATTCGGTATCTTCAAAGGCCCTGAGGATGTTTTTAAATAACATAAACCAAAATAATATCTGATAACATAAACATAATGAAAATAGTGATTTGGGGGCAAGTAGCAGTTTGGGTGGCTTGGACCCATATTTATATATTCACCTTACTTCCCCTGTTTGGTTACAAAGCAGCAGAAAGACTTCCGTTTCTGTTCCAGTCCCAAGTCCTGACCCACATCTCTGCCTCGACGCAGACGTGGGCTGGAGCTGCTCCTACAGGCACATGAGAGCCACTCCATGCCACACTGTCCAAATTTGTATTCAGACACCGTGTTGGTGGCTTGAAATCACATATGGTGTGGATATTTACACCACACACACAAAAAAAGTCAACAAATGCTATATATTAGGACTTTCTTTCAGAAAGCCAATTAATCGACATCACTGCCTGGATCCCAAACTACACCTTATCACTTTGCTGTGGTAACTTTATCATCATCAGGCCCCCAGGTGACATAGAAACTGACAGCTTCCTAGTTCCTTGCCATTCTTCTCATGTTTGTGTGGGGAAGTGGCCTCCTGGGCCTTGAGAGTCGGATTGGGATGAAGAACTGGGTGGTTACACTGCCTGGTTTTCTGCTCTTCTGGTACCTCACCTTTCTGTTCTGGGCCCGCCCTCAGGTAGAAACCGTAGCCATTGCTTCCCTTCTTCATCTCCACGACTCGAGGCTGGTGGGGCAGCAGTTTCAAACTTGCTGTTTCCCTCTTGAATGGTATCTTTTGTTCACGATGGTACTTGTCGGTTTCTTTGTCCACAAGAAGGAACATGATGCGGTTTCCAGACTTCTTCACCTGAGACCACACACACAGATGAGAAACAGCAGCAACTCCCAAGAACAGTGCTTGGGAATGCGATGGTTTCTGAATAAAGGCCCAGTGTCTCTATTCAACAGAAAGCATGGCGTGGCCCGCTTTTAAGCCATAATACTATCTTCTACCCCCCAACTGTTACTTATCTGTTTCCACTCCTGTAGCTGCTCTTTATCCCTTTGTTTATGCACAACCTCATCTACACATATCAATGAACCCAAGGCAGAACTGAAATTCAGAAAACCCAGAAAGGTATGTAGGTGCAAGCCAGAATAGGAATTTTAAAAAGAACAGAAAGAATCCACTCTGAAAGATCATTCTACAAAGGGAAGAGAAGGTTAGTGAATTTAAGGTTCCTTATGACCTCAAAGGAAAACCTCCCAGCGTTTCAGTGTGCCATGGGCCTTCCAATATTCACGTGGATGCCCCTATACAGTAGCCCCTGCCTTCTGCGCTTTCATTTTCTGCAATTTCAGTTATCCAAGGTCAGGCACAGTCCAAAAATATTAAGTGGAGAACTTCAAACATTATATGCTTTAGGTTCCATTCTGTTCTGAGTAGCGTGATGAACTCTTGTGTAAATCATCCCTTTTCCCATTGTATCCATGCTGTACACATTTCCTGCTTACTACATGTTAGTTGTTTCCTCTATATACATACCTATGATAAAGTTTAGTTTATACGTGAGGCACAGCTGGGCCTGGTGGAACACACCCATAATCCCAGCACTCTGGGAGCCTTGGAGCCTGAGGCAGGAGAATCCCAAATTCAACCCCAGCCTAGCAATTTACCAATTTACACCCTGTCTCAAAATGAAATATCAAGAGCTGGGGATGTAGCTGCGTGCAAACGCTTTGGGTTTAATCCCAAGTGCCACCACCCAAAAAAAGCACAGTAAGTGAAGAATAACAATAATAAAACAGCTATAATAAAAAGTTATTTAAAACTTGCACATTGTGAATTGTGTATTTCTGGAACTTTCCGTTTAACATTTTCAGGTGTGGCTGACCACAGGCAAATGAAACTGCAGAAAGTAAAACTGCAGATGGGTGCTTATAAGATCCAAAAGAAAAGGGGAATGGTGGTTTAGACTTCTTGACCCAAAACTAGCAAAGGCTTTATTTCAAAATCCTGTATTAACACTGCTTATGCCACTAGTGAATCTGTTCACCCTCAATTCAAAGGGACAGACAATCCCCCCATAATAAACTCATCCCAGACCCAGCCACCCAACTTCCTGTCTCTTCCAAGGTGAGGCAAAGGGGTAGGAAAAGCGGTGTGTGTGTGGGTGGGGGGGTGACGATGTTACCTTTTCAACCACTTTCTCGTGGCTGGCATTCTCTACATTCTCTCCATTCACTTCAATCAAATGATCATCAGGCAGGACTCCAGCTTTCATAGCCACACCCTGAGGTGTTATGTCAGTCATGTGTACTCCCTTTTTACCTGGAAGACGGTGGAGACGGGTATGAGCTCCAGTGCACAGAACCGGAAGCCCAGTGTCCAGATGGATTGTTCCTGGTAATGTGAAATTAGTACTACCAATTGAGCCAACTCTGTCCCCCCAGCTTTGAATCTAGAATCCATATTACAGCTCCTAGCACAAAGCTATTACTCAGCATATACTTGATTTGAACCCTAAATAAATCAAGAATCTCAGGTGACATTGGCCTCCTGAACCAAAAAGTGCCCAACGATGCCCACCCTGCATCACTGTGTCACACGCGCTCTCTTTGCACCTACACGACCAGAAGGCATCTATTCTGTTCCCTCCTCCTTTAGTGCTACCACCAACCCTCACCTACTGTGAAGTCAGTGAATCTCATCAATGCAGGCTCACAAGGTCAGAAGCACAGAAGAGAGGGGAAAGCATGTGTGTTTTGATAATGTGAGCTGAGTGACACTTAACACTCTTGAGTCGTTCAAGCTACTAGCACTTCAGCCTAGGCAAAATGACTGCACAAATTACTTGTAAGGAATAATTTAATTGCTTTTTCCTTAATCACTTCACATTTCTTTTCTTATCTTGGTATACTTGTCACAAAGAAAACATTTTCTTCCTAAAGCTAACACAAACCATGAGCATTAGCACAAGAGCCAAATGAGTAAAATCTGAACTATAATTTTTACCATTTTACAGATAATGAATTTCTTTTTTTTGGTACCAGGGATCAAACTCGGGTCTTTGCGCTTGCAAGGCAGGCACCGGAACCACTGAGCTAAATCTCTGGCCCTATAATGAACTTCTAAGAAAAGCCAAGCTTCCTTTGGCTAGCCACACCATTGTGTTTAACAACTGGAAAACTTGAGAACCCTCTCATAATTAGTTTATACCTCGTACTACAGGTTAAGTATTGGTAACAATTTTAAGCTTATGATTGATCTGCTCCTTTATCATTTACTGAATTATGACCAGTCACCAGTGCCAGAAAAGCACTGGGCACAGGGCAACATCAGAGATGCCACTAGCCATCTCTGGCTGGTGTTAATAATGGTTAAATAATGTTAGCACCAGCTAACATTATGTCCTCTGAGTCCAACCAGTGTCACAGGGAACCCATTGTGGAACTCTGGTCAGCTGAGCACAGGTCAATCTGCACTTCTAAAATTATGGAACAAGATCTCTAGTACTTCCTGACATCAAGGTTTCTCAGCTATGAGTCTCTTAGCTAGAAGTCAGAGGTGTATTTCAGGACAGTCGGGGCTAGGCCACAGTACTATTTAAATGTCCCAGGAAGGTGGAAATTTTTGCAGTATCCCCAGCAACTGTTAATGGCATCTGGCACATCAGTAGATGCTCAGGAATTTGTTGAATAAATGAATGACTATCTGGGCACTGGAGCAATGAAAAGAAATACTGGTCTTACTCAAAATTAGCTATCAGGAAGAATCTCTTTCTCATTTCCCCTCCACCTTGACCCAAAGGGAGCAAGAAAAGAATGATCCAGAAGCATCAGCCCTTTAGCCCTCTCTCCTTAAAGTGTCAAGCTAATATTGAGGCCCAAGAGTGCCCACCGACCACCCCAGCCTTGCTGCTGTCCAGGCCCTGACCCCACCTCGCACAATTGTGCCGGGCAAGAGAACATGCAAGAAAGGCATGGAGAGACACACAAGCTGCTGTGGGATACTTAAAGCAACGGAAAAGTTAGGCCAAGTCATTAACTGGTAACTACATCTTCCTTCTGGAAGGCCACGGCCGAGCCTCACCCTCCAGCTCACCTTGGACAGTTTTCAGAGAGAAGCCGTAGCTGTTCCCCTCCTTTACCAGGTAGCAGAGCCGCGGCTGGGTGCAAGTCACTCCTCCGTTCATCACTGGGGCTGCTTTCGTGTCACTCAAATCCAGCTCCTGGCTTTGATCCAACTCTTTCAAGTCCACCCCTTTCTTCACAGCTTTCTCATAGGAATCCCCACACAGAACTAATAAAGTCACCGAATTCCCGCTCTTTCTGATCAGCTCCACCACCTAGGTAGGGGGGAGAGAGGTAACTTCGTTATTAATAACCCTCTATCAACTGCAAGGGGGAAATTCTTGTCATCTGGCTCACTGTGTGGCCCATGGTTCCGATAGCTGACCTGACACCCACATGGTACCCCAGCCTCCTTCGGCACAACACTCCTAATCTTCAGGTGCAGATTAGGATGGAATCCAGGGACACTTACAATGACTGCACTTTTCTGGACATGAATGGTGCCTCACAGCACAACAGGCCCCCCAGTTCTATGGGGGCTCCAGAGTAGTGAAAGGGGAATCAGGCAGTATTGGAGGAAGACCCTCTTGCATTCAGTGCATGAATATATTAGCAAGCTAATTTATCTGTGCTTAGCTCCCTTGTCTGTGAGATGGTAATACATGCCTTATGGGGTTGTGATAAGGCTTTAACATGATTAGGAATAGAAAATGGTCTTTGCACAGTCACTGGTACATATTAATATTTTTTACAGTTTTTAATTATGGGGACTTGATCGACCAACATAAATTATAATGATAAATCCTTGCCAGTGGCAGGCAGGAAAGAACCAAGTTTTACTGACCCCCAACATCATAACTGGCAGAGAAAATGCTGAGGCTGAAGAGATCCTAGAAGAACCCTGAATATCTCGTTCACCTGCATGTGCTCTTCCTTGTCGACAAAGACACCATTGATCCTGAGAACTCTGTCTCCATCCAGGAGCCCAGCCTTCTCTGCTGGGCTTCCCTTCTCAATCACCCGGACCAGGTGCCCGTCGGTGTCCTTCTCAATTCGCAGGAAGAAGCCATAGCTTTGCCCTTCCAGTTTGGACAGTTTGCATTCTCGGACATTGAAGACGGCAGCCATTTCTGTAGTGGAAAACGAATGAATGAGAAAACAAATGGGAAGGAAACTTTAATCATGTCCTTCATTTCCTCTAATTCTGTTCTGAACACTGAGGGGTTAGGAGCCGACTGTATAGGAGTTGCAAATGATACCTAAATCTGTTTCCCCAAGGTTGACCTTTTTACTTGAGTTTCAGACCCAAATATTCAATGAGGTACTGTACACCGGTGCTTTGATCTCAGTAGCTTAAGCCAAACTCCTCTTTGCCCTCTGAGTGAAAAAAAATCAAATCTAAACACATGATCCAAAATTTTTCAGAAAAGATGGGCCCCCTTTCATTTGACTATTTGAAGATTCTATCAAGTTCTGGGCATTGAAGATGAATCTGTGGAAAGAGATGCATACTTCAGAGACAACACAGTTCTGTTTTTACATGTGATGAATGTTATATTAAGAACAACACGCCGGGGATTTAGCTCAGTGGTTCCGCCGCCTGCCTCGCAAGTGCAAGGACCCGAGTTCGATCCCGGGTACCAAAAAAAAAAAAAAAAAAGAACAAGGCCCAGGGATTTAGTTTAGTGGTGCCACCGCCTGCCTCACAAGCACAAGGTCCCAAGTTCAATCCCTGTTACCTAAAAATAAAAGAACAACAGAATGATAGTAAGAATATAACAGAGGGTCTTTAGCCAGCCACGGTGGTGCATGCCAGTTATCCCAGCCCTTGGGAGGCTGAGGCAAGAAGATCACATGAATTGTGATTTCGAGACCACTGTGAATTTGAGGTCAGCCTGGGCTATGTAGTGAGTTCAAGGACAGCCTGAACTGCCTAGTGAGACCTGTCTTTGGGAGTAGGGAATGCAGTGAGAAGAATTAAGAATGGGTTCCAGAGGAGAAGTGAAGGCTTAGCAGGAGCTCAGGTGAGGTCAGACAGGACAAGGAAGACCTCAATTAAAAACCAAACAAGCCGTGCCTCAGAGCTGGCCCAATGTGTCGGTGATGCAATAGATAAGTGGTTGTGTGGGACCCTGAAGTGTCCCAGCAGAGCAGGGCAGGGCAGGGCACAGATGCCGGACAGAGAAAATGTGCCAGTGACCAGGTGAGAGTCCTCCCTCTAAAGCACCTCCTCTCTGCCCTCCTTTTTCCCCTCTGCAGGACCAAGGTCCTAAGCCACAGGAGGATGACAGCACCACTGTGAAAAACAACACCTGGGGCTTTGCCCCCAGTTCCTGTTTAGGGCGAATCTCCCAGCAGCCCCAAGGCCTCCTGGCCTAATGCTTTTTGTTTCATAGAAGAAGAATGGAGGTCCACAATAGTAAGGCAGTGGGTGCATGTATTCAACCAGGCACTGTACACGGATGCTACAACTTCAGCAGCTCAAACCAAACGCCACCTGACTGAAAGAAATTAACTCCAAATACACGAGCCAACAATTTTAACAGAAGAGGGGAGAAAGCTGGAGGCAGCTCTTTAAACTGCTTCGGGCCCCCACATCAGTTATCTGCCTGTGAAGTAGACTAAACCACCTGCCCCTTCTCTGCTGGAAGGACAGGGACAGGTGAGCATGTGGGGTTCAGAGGGAGTAGGGTGAAGAGCCGGTGGGCGTCAAAGTGCTCCCCACTCCCCAGAAGCCGTGCCACGGGGGCGTGAGAGCGCCATCTCCGACCTCTGCGCCCACAGAAACAGGGCAGCACAAACTGGGCAAGGAGCCTCCCGCTGCCCTGTGTCTTGGCCATATCACATGGCCTCTGCGAAGTCTGGCAGCCACCCCGAGAGTGGCACGAATGACTAAGCAGTCAGGGAAACAAGAAACAAAGATTCCCCATCAAGCATCAAGGAGAGAAAACCAAAGCGAAGGAGTAACCTGCGACATGGCTTTGCTTAGCAGCTGCCCCAACCAAAGACACAACCAGCCACAGAAAAGGCCACGTGGGAGGAAGGGGGACGTATGGGCATCGCGGTCAGTTTCCTCCCCAGCAGGCACCTTCTGACCCCAAACTGTTACTTCTCTCTCTGCTGGTCTCCAGCCTGCATGCGTCAGTGCCATTTGCAGCTTGAATCCGTGTCTGTGTCCAAGCTCCCCTCTCCCTCAGCTATCAACCTCACACGGCTGAAAAGCCTCGAAGGAAAAACCCTCTTAAAAAGCCAGGTAATTCGAATAGTTTCTCTGGGTGTGAGAAACTGGAAGTGCAACTAAGGATTAGAATGATTAAAATGAATAATTGAACATTCGAAATAGGAAGAAAAGGCCCAAAGGGGTAGGGGAAGTTGGAGGGGAAGGGGAAAGAAAAGAAGGGAAAGGAAAAATTATAAGAAAAGGAAAAAACGGAAACAAAGTCTTTGTAAATAGGGAAGGGTAGATGGGGGTGAAGGGAGAACAGGGAATGGGGAAAAAATAAGAACCAAGATGCATCATGTCCAGGTACAAGCACCCAATGATAAATGTAAACATATTGTATACCTAAAATGTACCAATAAAGGAATTTAAGCCAAAAAAAAAAAAAATAGGTAATTGCTGGGAAACTCCATCCAAATATTTAAAAATTTGAAACATGTCCTTAGAATAAAAAACCTGCTGGATTCGGTTTTCATTAAGACATGCAGCTGTCTGTGATTGACAGATAATGCTCATTTTTAAAGCACTTACCTCTAAAACCCTGCGTATACCCTGCAGTGTCCACCACGGCCACTGAATCTCATTATAAACTTAGGACAAAAAGTGGAACTTCCTCACTAGTAGAACTAAACCCTATGTTTAGGGATGGAGGAGGAGAACGTTTTCCGGTGTCTTACTGGAGACTTAACACTGGATGTACAAGGAAACACAAATTATATATTTCTTGGCAAAAATCTCAAGCTGCATTTAATTTTGTAGATTGGTCAAAGTTTCCAAATAGCCTAAATGAAATCACTCCGACCTGCTTCAGGCACTTAGGGTCAGAGGTTTTTTTAAATTTATGTATTTTTGTTACAGAACTGAGGATTGAATCCAGAGGCTCCCACCTGCTGGGCAAGTACTCTTATCACTGAGCTACATTTCCAGACCACCTTTTTTTTTAAATATTGAGGCAGGGCCTCACTAGATCTCCCAGTCTGGCCTCAAATTTATAATCCTCCAACCTCAGGCTTCAGCCCCATAGTAGCTGGGATTACGCATGTGTCACTGTTTTCAGATAAGGTCAGGGTTTCCTTTCACCTCTGTGGTTGAAGCTGAGTTAGAGACAGTTCACAACAGAAATGCTACCATACTCGTGGGGAAACAGCTACTACTCTGAGCCCTGACTGCCGCCTGCCATCGGTCTGTCCTCTCCATGGCTCAGCCAGTAGATCAGTGGTGGTGAACCTATGGCACACGTGGGTTTTTTTCAGGGGGTAGGGGGCGGTGTTTCTTCTTGTTGTTCTTGTACTGGGGATCAAACTCAGGACCTTGCACTTGTGAGGCAGGCACTGTGCCACTGAGCTAAATCCCTGGCCCAACACGTGTTATTTTTAAGACAAAAGATGTTAAAGTATGAGTTTTTTCTATACTAAAACCTCAGTATTCAGTTTAATTGCAGGACTGGCACTCTGCAATAAATGAGTTTTGGGTTGCAGTTTGGGTGCTTGTCCCTGAAAGATTCGCCATCACTGGATCACTGGATCGATGCCAGTGTCCATCGATTGGTAGATGCCCAGATTGAGCTGATTAAATTGTTAACACTCACCTGGACCAATGGGGAAAGCTAACCAGAGGCCCAAATGCCTGTTCGCACATGGGGCCCTTGGAGCCCAAAACTATTTTCTTTGCCATGGTATAGAGAGATGATTCTTCTAGGCGCCATGAGGGCTGGGCTCTGTTCTACCTCCAGTCCTGGCCCTACCCAGTCCATATCTCGGTCTTACACTGGCCCCTAAATCAGGGCCACTGTCCATCACTTCAGCAAGCCGGTATGATTGCTGACAGGGGTCCCTCGGACGCCAACATAGGTCCTCACTAGGAAGGTCTCTATTTAAGGACCCATTTGCTTTCTTCATTCCCCACCCCATCTACTGCTGCCTGAGGAAATCTGGGCATCAGGCCACTGTGGAGATACCCAGCTAACTGGTGAAAACCTGGGTTTCTGTAACATCAAGTCAGCAATCACCCAAAGCTGGAGTCCATTAAACCTTCAGCAGGCTTTATTCCCCAATTTAAAAGGCCATAATACTGGAAAAGAAAGAAAAAAAATCTATAAGCTTTTCTGAGCTGGGGGAAGAGGTAATACTTAGTTGCTTATCTGTGGGAAAGAGAACAAAGCACCAGCTGGCAGACAGCAAAGGCTCAGAGGTAAGAGCCAAAAAGAATTTTCCCTCATCATTAATAATCTTATTAATCATGTTAACCCTACCTTTAGACCCCACTTTATTCCAAAAGGATTACAGTATTGCTACCAGAAAAAAAGCATACACCGTAGCAAAGAAGAAAATTAGATACACGTTAGAACTTAGGAACGTGAAATGATACGGTCAGCATAGAAAGAACTGAAGCCACCAGGCTCTTTTCTGCAGGAAAAGAATAGCTGTGAGGACCCACGGAACACCTTACAAGCCCAAGTCAGGCGGGGCTTTCTCGGCGCCCAGTCCTCCGCCCACACAGAGTGGTACGTGACCTTCGTCTACACCTGCCACACCTGCCCTCACCACCACCCTGCACAGAGACCTGGAACTCTGAACCCGTGCCAAGGAAATCAGAACTACATAACTGAGACCCAACCAGCCAGAAGGATCAGCTTAGCTGGCCAAGGCCAGAAGAAGTCTCCTTTCCCCCTCTTTGCATGTGTGGGCTAGAACCTGCAGGTCTTTCCTCAGCGGAGCTAGAAGAAACAGCAAGGCTCCACTCCAGCTGGCCCCAGAGTCAGCGGGGCTGGTAGGGAAGTGCACCTGCCCTGTCAGCTTGCATGGCCAAAAGGGCCCCACTCCAGGACCATGTTCTGTGTAGACATGTCCTTTTAAAAACATGGGGATGGACGCTCAGAAGCCTGCCCAGACAGACTCATCTTAATAGCAC